CCCCAAAACCCCAAAACCCCAAAACCCCAAAACCCCAAAACCCCAAAACCCCTAATTTCTTTAATTTCCTTGAAAATTAAATTAGAAAATATTATAAATGTCTTCCTACGAAGAAGAGCTTACATCAAGATTGAATAAGATCAAGCCTGCTCTTGAAGAATTAGGAATAGAGCCTCACAAAGGCATCTGTGATATCAAGATAATCTCAAAGATGGGTAGAATGGTTGGCCTGGATATTACCCCTACTCAAGGTATTGAAGCTCTCTTCTATGCCAAAGGTGATGCTGAGAGATATTTCACTCCTTTTGATGACATAGAGTTTGAAAGATTCGTCCAGTGGTTCTATGATAATGAAAATATAAGGCTTAGGAAAAAGAATTATCTCAAAACTTCCAGGACTCATTATATTAGACCAATTAATGTCAGATCTAACAGTGTGTTAAGAAAAGGAAATTTCGGGTCTCCATCAGCTAGAGGGTTTGGGAAAAATCTCAAGAAGAGAGGAAACTTATTGACTCCAAACCCATCAGAAAAGCACAAAGATAATGAGGATAATGAGGAGTATAGGTTTAGAGCACAGATTCAGGTATTTTCATAACCCTTATATCTAGAAATTATTCAGGGACAAAAAATTTCCGGCATTGAAATAAGGGATTTGGTATTCATCGAAATCATATTTAGAGCAAATTCTTCAAGATTGGAATGTTTCTAAAATGAAGAAAGATCATATTATAGGTAAGCCTTGGACAAGTTGAAAATTATAATGACAAACGTTTTTTGGCTCATATTTTGAAATAGACAATGGTGAAGACAATGACTGGTATAATCTCCAGAAGCTCACTCCATTCTCACCCAGTGGTACTTTCTATGAAACCATTGGATCATTCCAAGCGAGGAAGAGGATATTCCTGAAGAGTAAGAAGGAAAGAGAACAAACAGAGAAAAATATTGGTAGCTAATCTTTAATTCACTACGATATTCTAACTTATTTACAGAAGAGAAAATTATCAAATGAGAACCAGATGCTTTGAGAGCAGTTAAACTCTCAAAGCTGCTTCAGAAAAACTGGACAGAAAAGCCTGAAGCGTATAGGATTTGTTCAAAAATCCCAAAAAGTAAGAGAAAAAGGCTTGAACAAATCGTGAAGGATAATAGGTATTATCCTTAGACATCAATTAATTTCAATATAGCCTTCCTTGATTGGGGTTTTGGGGTTTTGGGGTTTTGGGGTTTTGGGG